GGCCTGATACAGTAAGAAACAATAAACAAACAGATAATATTGTATAGAAACCAAGAAATGACCAAGTAATGTCGCTTCAAAATCAGTATTAAAAATTGAGGGTCATCTCTTTGAATATAAACAGAATTTCTATTTTTAATTTTAAAAAATAAAAGCATAATTTCATGGAGAAGCTTAGTGAAGCATATCAACCACGTAAGAATCACATGTGGAAATTACTATTATATTAGGATGAGTTTGGACCACCACCCTAGGAGTAGTCGTATTAGTACTATTCTGTAATGCAGGAAAAATAAGTTTTTTTTTTCAACCCGACTTTTTCTGTTTAGGTGCTAGTTTGTGGCGTTTTCAACAAAAGTAGGGTTCAAGAAAAACAAACAGACAAACAGGTGGAAATGTGCCCGCATAAGCAGGATAAATAAGTAGTAGATTTAAGGTTTATTGGTCAATACTAAATTGCCCTCAACATTCAATTATCTTAAAAATAAATATCATCGAACAACATAATATAGAGCTTTAAGTATATGTGATTCTGGAGCATGTCAATACATTATAAACTATAACGAAGCATAAGAATTGCAATTATCAGACCTGAAGCAATGGAGGTCTCAAGGGTATCTTTTCGTGAGTAACAGCTTTTGGACCATCAACTGCGATCAGTGCTAACTCCCCATGCTCAGCTACAGCTCTAGCATGTGCTTCCTTTGCCTTCAACTCTTCCTTTTTCTTTATTGTTTCTAGATCAATTGATGGTACACCAGCATCTACAAAAACACATCTAGCAGAAATATAGAAAGTCACATTAGCTTCAAAAGAAAGAATAAAGATAAAATAATACAACAATTACATGCCTTTGAAAACATCTGAGACAAGCACCAAGTCACAACAGGTTTTAAGATATCAATATAATAAGATAAGCATATAACATCACCTCTATCAGTAGGATGGGATAAGTAACAAAATGATGCATTTCACGAGTGCCATTGAAGAACTGAAAATATCATAACAGAATTATGCAGTTCTAAATGGGGCGACTTGGGCTGGGGACCCAAGTGAGTCTGAGCAGGAGTCCTTGTAAAAACACTGCTTGCATAGTAGACGTGTCATGTTTATGATTAAACTAACCGACAATCATCTCTTATATTTGCATTATGTCCAGTAAACAAATAAAACCGTAGCACAAGTTTGCACTAATTTGTAACACAATCATTACTGATGAATAGAAGATTTTCTGATGCAGTCAGCTTTCGAAGGACAAATTTTCACCTGGATGTCTGTTGGGGTAATTCAAACCATCAGTTCAAGATTTCTTCAAGTGATAAGACCCTTATCCCTATGGGTTGTTCATAATTCGGATGTTTTCGGCTTTATGGCCAAAAGCTTGCTGGAAAAATCAGTAACAAATTTTACTTCCTTAGGGCATTAGGTTTCATTCCATTACTGAGTCCAAAAAGGTAGACCACCTTCTAGAAAGATCAATCTTCTAGAAGATTGTGAGCTCCATAAATTAGAAAGTTGAGATTCTTCAAATCTAGTAAATTATTTCTTTCTCTGTTTCATAAGTTGAATTAGTTTCCTGATTATATTTAAGATGTTAGAATGATTCTTTCAATGTATTGTAAAGGTATGGTTCTCTGAAACGATAAAGGAACTAAACTAATTTCGGAATAACCTCGAAGATTAAGAAGCGTAAGAGTAGACATAACTTGGGTACTAAAGTTCAGTCAAATAAAGAGGGATTCAAACCTCTACAAACACCCATGTGGGTCTATATGGCGAACCAAATCAAGTGAAGCAATTATCATCTATGGTGTGAGGTGAGGCTACGTTTAGAGAAGATTCCTTATCTTTTTGTAGAAAATGTTCTACAACTCTAGCCTAGGTTTGGAAATCTCCCGCAAAGGTTAGAGCCCTCTTTATTCTTTTAACAGCAAGATTACTCAAAACCCTAGCTTGTCAATTGGAGGTTCTCCCCACGGAAGCTTGCATCCCCCTTCTTTCCCCTCTTGAGGCACATCCTTGTCTAAGATTTCCCAAAACAAAATTCTTCACTGACTCGAGATCTACCATAAACCCTAGTTCAAGCAGTCCAACCCTCAAGTAATCTATGCCATTACAACCCTCATTCCAAATACACAACCTCCAGAGGCTAAAAACTAAACACTGACCTTTTCCTAATTCAACCTTATAATCCATCTCATCCGCCTCCTATCTTACTGAACCTGATAAATTCTAGCAACTTTAACATCCATTAAACCCTCTATTTCAAACCCTAAACATTACCTCAACCTCACTAAAACCTCATCCCACCTTTAGTCCTAACCCCCTTAAGACCTCCAATTATTCACTCTTACTAAAAATAGGATATCTTAGATTACCTTAAATGCTGCTGACTCTAAACCTCAGATATAGCCCACTAAGCCTTTGTCAGACTCATGTAGGATCCAACCCGTTGGTCGTGCATCATCATTTCAAGAATATTCAACTGTGCGTTAAAGAGGCTCTCTCAGGCCTAAGAAGACGAACAGAATTGTATTTAGAAGCTCAATCTTTTAATATAGAAGGCAGCCAAACCAGGCAAATATAATTTACGATTTCGGTGCAAGCCCTGCCACAAAAGCTCAATCATTCAGATGGTTGAAATGACCCTTTCAATTTGATAATTGGGTTGTCGTGGTATGGAATATTTCAGCCACATCAGCCGTCGCACTTCTCCCCAAACACATCTCTCAAAAACTGGTTTAAGGATATCTAAGATGTAGATACATATTAGACATTTCCATCTGGTATGGAATACCACCTGAAAGCAAGGAATGCTTAGGTTTATATCTGTTACCCACAAATTATACGTCTAATTCCCCTATGTGGCTTTGTGAATGGATCAGCAAAGAGTTTTTTCATCATTATAGAGAAATTAGAGAAGTGACTGTAAGTTGTGATACTTTGTCACCGAGAAGAGAGAGACAAAAGAATAGCAAGAGAGACCAGTGTGGACCCCACATTCAGTATGTATGGGGTTGCATCTTCACTATGTGATTAAATATTACAAGACTTGATGTAAGGGTATGTACAACTACATATATGCCTTTAAAATCCAGGGATGTAACATTGTGAAATAAAATAACAAATAAGAATGACATCATAGTTGAGCAAGTACGGGAGCAATTTGTCGGAAGGGGGAAACACAATAGGCTGAAAGATCCCAATTATAAGAGAATCATTGATACAATGCATCTATTAGGTATCAAAATCCCAACCCCTTGGAGATCCAAATATCTCAAACTTTTCATCCACGCCTACCTTGGTCATGGTCCGGCATCCCCCTGTGGAGGGCCTCCATAGCAGCCATGCTTTGGGTCATTTGGACCGAGAGAAACAAAAGGATATTCCATGGCAAGAGGACAATAATTGACGCTTTGAAAGATATGATCAAATCCCTTGTCATCTTTCGGCCAAAAATAGCAATTCTTTCAAGCACTTCTCCTACGCGAACTTTCACCAAGATTGGGAGGCTCTTCTAAACTTAAGGCCTGACCGCACACACCTCCTTATGGAGGCCGCCTGAACATGTTAAGGACAAACTCAACTTCAATGGCTGCTCCTTCGGTAACTTAGGTCCAACGGTCATTGGGGGCATTTTCAGAGACCACAATGGTTGTACCCTCATCTCCTACTCCCATTCAATCGGGAGGAATGTGCACGACTCATGGAGGAATTTGCAGGAATGTGCACGACTCATGGAGGAATACATGGAGGGAAGAAAATACAGCAGCCGACACCCTCGCTACATTGGGTGCTACACTAGCGGAAGCCTCTATTGCGAATCCACATGGGACATTTTGAGCAAACTTTATGCATCCATCCCTTTTTTTGATACTTTTGTCTAATGCCTCCCGACTCTACAGCATTTTTTGTGACCCTAATGCAATATCATTTTTTTCCGCCCTTCTGGGGTTTTTATTCAGGGCAACCGGCATGTGGGTAGCCCATACCTATGTAAGTTTCTCCTTATTTAATATAACAGTCAAAATATTCAAAAAATAATAATCTCAAACTTTTGGGATCAAGTTCTCGACTACATGGAACAAGCCGTTCCCCTTGAATTGGAATCAATGTATAGCGGGACCCTTAATCAAGGTTCCCCACTAGTATTAAAATCAAAGTCCTTTGAGTGCCCTTGACCAAGGCTCCCTACGTATTAGAATCGAGGTTACTAGAGTTTCTAAACACGCCATCCTTCTTCACTAAATAAAAAATGTACAATTACTTAACTAATAATAAATTTTAGAAAATGAGACACTTATTTCAGGTTCCCCTATTATTAAGAATTTATGATTGGGGTTAAGTAGAGTTTCAAGAAACCAATCCTTCTTTGTTGAATAAAGAGAATACAATTCTTGTATTAATTAACAATAAGTTTTAAAGAATAGAATGTTTCAAATAAAATTTAAGGAAATTCAAGCATTTCATAATATTATTGCAATCATTCTATAACTCATTTAAGTGCTGATTTATGTAACCAAAAAAAAAAGTTCTCTTTGTTGTATCAATTTATAAACTCTTTTATGTGATAATCATTCTCTCACTCTAGACATTTGCATTTGAATCTTGATTACGTGTTATCAAAACTTCAATAACATGTAAATCAAATCACGGCTTGGTGCACTCATAAGCTCAAGACTCAATGTGGTGGAATGTAGATCCTAAATCACTCAGGATTGAGATTTCAGAGTAGAATTGCCACCCAGGGTGGAGGACTCGATAACTATGATATCAATGCCCCTTGTACATGATACATAGTCTAACACCCCCTCATAGTCAATCATGTTTGGACATGTATAAATTGTCTTTTAGAAAGTGATGTCACTCACTGGTGAGCTCTTCGGTAAAAATGTCAGCAATCTGATTCTCGATGCAAATATAATCATTTGAATCACCTCTGCTTCTATCTTCTCGTGCACAAAAACATAATTAATACTAAGTGCTTCGTGCGGTCAAGAGAAATATGATTAGTGACAATAGCAAGACCCTCCAATTATCACAATAGATGGTTCGTTGTTATACTTTATAACCAAGTTATATGATCAGATTTCGTATCCATATAATCCAATGCTCATACTTGATCATTCCACGAACTTTTGCTTCTTACTACAAGATACAAGGTGTCTTCCTAAATAAATGCATATCTTGAGACCGACCTATGCGAGTCTAGATCTCCCACCCAGCTGGTATCGGAGTAGCCAATGAAAGAAGCAAAACATATATCATCTACATGTTTTTAGGTATGTAATATTAATTGTGCAACTTCAAGCATCGGATTATGCATTTTAATGCCTCCATGTGGACATTGGTGGGTGCGTGCATAAACCAGCATACCTGATTTACTGTAAAGGCTATGTAGGGACGAGTGAGGGTGAGGAGCTTAAGTGTGCTTGCCATGTTGCAGCACTTCTATGATTTTTCAAGTAATTTTCCTTTATCCACTATCAAACGTTTCTAGGGTGCAGCTAGAGTGGTTGATAGTTTGCAATGCAACATACTATTGCACTCATGTAAACCAAGCACATGTTTATATTCAGATAATCAAAGTTCATCCTGAATGAGACACTTCTCTCTCTACAAAGTATCATAGCTGTTCAAAATCTTTCATCTGAAATATATCATGAAGGAAGCCCTTGATGTGGATGCTAAGATCTCAAATAAGTATTGAAATGATGCTTCATTAACATGCATGAGGATAATCACAATGCCTCTAGCACTCCTGTGGATGCAAAGAAAAAGATCAGTGCTGTCCTCATGAACCATAGTCCTTTATTGCATGATAAAGCTTTGAAACCATATACAAGAAGCTGCTTCAATGATAAAAGGATGTCTATGACTCACAAAAGTACTCCGAAAGATCCTGCTCACTAAAACGTAGGGGATACTCCCAGTATACTTATTTTAACTCTCCATGAAGAAATGCATTCTTTACATCAAGTTGGAAAAGAACTGCATTCTTTACTCGAATAGTGACAATTTTATTTTAAGAACTTTGAGAAAGAAAAACCCTAAAAGGGATTCTTGGATTCATTGATATAAGGCAGAGAAGCCTTGGTAACACCTCCCAAGGTCCGTCGCTTCCATGGTACTCTTCAATTTCTTCATCTCCCCTTTCTCATCAATTCTTTTCTCAATTCTTCCGTTTTCTTCCCCTAAACTTTTTTGTCCTCTACTTTCTTTACCTTCATCTTTTTTTTTTCCTTTCCTTTAAGTCTTTGTATTCTTCCTCTTTTTCTAATTTTTCTCTTTCTCCCTTATTTTTCCTAAATTCTTCTTTCTTTTTTCTTTTACTACAACACTCCAAACAACAAAAACACCTCATTCAAAGAATCCATCGAAGCCCTTAAAAGAAATAACCCATAGCTTCCTAGAATTAACTCTAATTAAAACCCTTTGAAACCCTAACCCTTATTCCACACGTAAAGTCAAAACTTCGATGTTTTACACGTTAACAAACTCTAAAACTAGTTGTGCAAACCTTCGGGAGTTACTTTAAAAATCTACACCAGCTTCTCTCCAGGTAGCATATTAGCTTTATATCTGATCGGGATCAATTTTTTATTTAACTTAATTTTGTTTAGGGGCAGATTTCAATCCATTATAAATTTGAAATTACATCGTCTAGGCATTAAAATAAACTCTTGAATTACATGTTGATTTACACAAGTTTGTTTATTTAATTTTTTAGATAATTAACTGCTGAATTGTAGATATTTAGCTTCATTTGAATTTAAAGTGTTCTCCAAAATAGTTTTAGGTTCTTGTAATCCAAGATTAATGAGTGGCTGATCCTAGCTCACATCAGTGTTGTTGATTAAAACCTTTTACCACTAATCAAGCTTTGAATCATTCGATACTGCCATTCAACTAGTACTTCATCTTACATACCAACCATCGAACTACTACTTTATCTTGTATACCAACTTGTTGCCCACAATGTGCAGTTCAAGAACGTGGCTTTTCTTTCTAAGGACATAGCTTCAACCCACATTGGTTTGCTTTTTGCCACATTATAGCTGGTAGGCTCCTTAGTTTAAGACATTTTATATAAATGCTGAATAATCACTTGTAAAGTTTCCATAGCTTATCCATCCACCTATAGGATGAATGATATGGATAGATCGATGAATGCTTTGATTTACTGCACTATCGTCATTCATTGTGGCAGCCTCTCGATATTCAGCGTGCTGCCTCCAGACCCAACACCCATATTTTCAGCATTATCACCTTTCTGCCCCGGTATTTGTGTATTTTCGGCTTGCTGCCCTTCTATTTCATCCAACTTGCTGGCCATGTTCTCATCATGCTGTCTACTCTAGTACTATCTATGATATATAATCACCTCCTTGTGCAATGTTGGGCTGCTCATTGGGAAGTCATCTCTAATATACGATTACCTCTTTAGTCACAGCATTAGGTTGCTCATTAGATGGAGTGTCGACATCAAAAAGGTGCTCAAAATCTCCACCAATGTGATGAGGCGTTCTCTCATCAATGGTAGTAAGTTAATGAGTATTGTTGGGAGCAAGCCCAAACAAGATAACTTCATCTCTCATTACGGATTCTTGAGTGCTATGAATTGTACCCTTGTTGAAATTGTCTTGAGAACATAGTTGTTGGAAATGCCTGAGAACCGAAATCGCTTTAGGAATCGGAATCGGGGAGTCACAGCCGGCTAGAAGATTCTTGTTTTCAGAATCAGCGTTCGTACAATGGGAATCGTAGTGAACGAGATTCCTATTTTTTTGGGAATAAAGAATTGACAAAAATGGAATCGAGATTCCGACGTATTTGGAATCCAGTTTCTGAAATGTGGAACAAAGATTCATGCCAGTTTAGAATCGGGAATCATATTAATTTAAAGTCGAGTTTGATCCCAACTGACAATCAAGATTCAAGTATGAAGCCTCATAAAAACAATTTTCATATATCAACGGCATCTCGTGCTTTATCGACTAAGAAGTTATTTAAGCAATCGACATCAAATGTATCTTATTAGAATTGTAGAAGGATTCCTCAGATTTGAAGTCCATGTATTGATTATTGAACTTAGGGTCAAGTAGTCCACTAGGGAAGTTAACTTAAATTATACAAATGTTATCTAATGTATTTCTAAATTGCAATCTTGACTTCATTATTATACAGACAAAATAGGATTTTCTTTGTGCCATGGCATTTATTGTTTGTGTTGTAGTTACCAATTATACTTTAAAGGAAAGGCAGTCCATCCTAGCACTATTAGAAATGTGATTCGAGTCAATCCTAGCACTATTACAAGCATTCGAATCGTATGAAGATTTCTACACCAATTACCTTTAAAAAGTGGTAACCATTCAGGAAATTGGATGTTATGTACTTTGAATTGCTTTTTTATTATATTTTTTACTTTTTATTTTTGCTTGCATTCACATTATGCCACTGTGATAGCGGAGAAATTCAGTCTAAACATCAAGCACACAAATGGATATATTATTGTATGAATTTAAAAATAACACATGGGTAGAGATAGATTTTGACATCAAACAAGTATCTTATGGAGGTAGAAGAAAAATTCCATGTTGATCGAATCAAGGTTCTTGCTCCTACGAACGTAAGTATTTTATGTTGTAGATTCTCGATTCAAAACCATAACGAATCAAGATTTATCACGTGTGGAATCAAGAATAAACAGACATGGAATCAAGATTCAATAAATGTTGGAATCGATTCGAAAAATTTGGGACCAAGATTACACAAATGAGATTCTCAACTTACGGAATCGAGATTCCTAAGTTCCAGGAAGTGGTTTTTATGAAGATTCCTTGTCAGAATCACACTATTCTTGAGATAAGATTACCTTAAGTGGATTACTCATCCTCATTCATCAAAACTAACATGTCATGAGATGGTGACATGTTTAAGTTAGGGCTCTACCTGCATAGCCTTCACAGCCCACAAAGGTGCACTCTTTCTCCTTTGGAGAGTTCCTTTCTTTGATCTTGTCTTTAGGACATAAGCATAACATCCAAAAGATCGAAGAATTTGCACTCTTACCATAAAACATAATATAAGGAGTTCAACCAATCAAAACATCATGGGCAGTCGCTTCACAATGTAAATAATTGTATGAAAGGCTTCAATCTGTAATTACTTTGGCGCCCCACTAGAGAACAAAGAAAGGGCAACCTCACAAAGATGGTGATGTTTTCATTTTTCCACTCCATTTTATTGTAGAGTACATCATCATTATCATCATCGTCAAAGCCTTTTCCCAACTAATTGGGGTCGGCTGCTTCCACTACTTCGGAAACAAGAGATGAGATCTCACCCATTCCACTACTTTGGAAAACAAGAGCTGGTTTATAAAAATGACTTTTTAAAATTTTTTGAATTGTATAATGCTTGGGTTTTCTCTTTGAGATAGTAGATCCAAGTTTGTCACAAGAAATTATCCACAAAGATTATATAAAATCTCAAGTGAGAAGAAGAAGCTACCAATGATGGTCCATATACACCGGAATGATTTAATAGGCAAGAAAGCTCGTTTAGTGGAATGAAAAAAAGGAAGTTGGGAATGTTTACCCAAGTAGCAAGTATGGCAACTGAATGAAGTTCAACTCTTGGGTGATGAGGGGATCAACCCTCTTTACAAAGCCCCAGACAGCGATACCAAACTTTGGCATCAACATTTACTAGGAATGAAGATAGTAGTAATGGAAACTTCCTCTAATGATCATCCACGACATATAGACGTCCTTGTCGATCCCCTCAAGTGAATGAAGTCCCCAACAATGGATCCTTCAATAAAACAGAATTCCTTGTCGATCCCCTCAAGTGAATGGAGTCCCCAACAATGGATCCTTCAATAAAACAGAAAATTGTTAAAATACAAAATTTGACTTGCACTCTTGAGTCAATTGAGAGACAAAACAAAGTTGCACTTGACTTTGGCAAGCTAATTGCAAAGCCCATTGAGTTTGTTGCAATACTCTATAACTGCCATTTTTCTTGCCTGCATTGCTGGAGAGAAAACCTCAAGTGCATCACACATGCCTGTTTCTTACAAAAGGGATTATGAAGAGCCTTATATACATCTGTAGCATTTCGCATTCCAATAATTGCTGCTGGAATTTCTTCCTCGAGAGTAGCATTGATTCATCCATTAAGTTGTAGGTTGTTGGCAAACCCGTCTTCATACGCAATCTTTGTCGAAACAATGTTCACTGCCCATTATTGTCAACCTCTTCTTTTGTGACAAGTTTGGACAGAGGATTAGAAGATCCATCTAGGTATTCGATAGGTCATATGCCACAGACCAAGGGTTCAATGAGGCCCTTCCGTAATATGAAATTAGATGAGGTCAACTTGGTGGTGACCATAGATAATGGATCCGATATTATTGTAAAATGGAGAACAAGGGTTAAAATACAGTAGAAGAAAGGAGGAATAAAATGATAAATTAATCGAGAAATAAAAGGCTAAGGATAAATTTTAAGTTTCTGAAATTAGGACTTATTTTTGTTTTTTTTAGAAGAAAGGAAAAAAAGAACTACGGATTCTGAGAAATTATTTTTGCAATAAGAAAGAGCCCAGACTTGGAGATAAGGGCTGCAATATGTCAGTGAGAAATTAGGGCGTTGGAGTGGAAGGACGAGAGAAATTAAGGCTTTTGTATAATTAGTTTTTTTTTTGTTTATTAATGTGGAATTAGGTTTTTGATAAGAGAGAAGCCCAATATGGCCTATACAATCAGTCAGATAGCACAAGGTGAGATCCCTCCTCTCTCTCTCTCTCAAACCAAACTGTCGTATGCATTGGGGGATGATTTCTACATTTGCGTCCCCTGAGGCATAAAACATCCATCTTAAAGATGGATGCATAAGAAAGTTAAAATCACTGGTCGATATAGTTTATTCATGAAAATTTTAATTTTAAGTTTTTAAAATTTATTTATTTTTACATATTCATGATCTGCATATTAGAGATTTATATTCTATAAAGTTTAGGTCCTAAATCCATCTCAAAAATAGATTTTCAAGAGGGGACACATTTCTACATACGGGTCCTAGGACCCATGGAAACCTTGTCCATATATATAGATATACATATATGAGGTGCTGGTGAGAAAGAGAGAGAGATTAGGTTAAGAAAGAGATTTGGGTCTAACTTCAGATTGAAAGGAGGGAGATCTTAGCATTTAGAGTAAGTGAGAGAGAGAGAGATTTCAAGCTGATCTGGGATTAAGAGGGATTTTGAAGAAAGAAATTTCCCAGTATAATGGATAGGTTGCCTTTCAGATGCTATAAAGAAGTGGTCATCTCCTTTAAATTAAACAGTAATATGAAACTATCAAGACAATAAAGACACATGCTGTACCAGTAAAAGAGGAACAAGAAGACGATAAGATCAAAACATCTAAAGAAAATAACCAGTAAAGTCAATTGGCCGGCATATGCTTACTAATCTCTGTCAGTAAAAATCTGCCAATGGAAACTCATACAAGAAACTATTTCACATGCCACACCAATGTCTACTTAGTACACAGGAAACATTACCACTAATCATTACTCAGAACTTTGAATGAGAGTATATCTCATGGCACAAGAGACATCAGGGAGATAAGAATTTATGCAAGTCTCTAATAGGTGGCAGCAAGCACCTATTGGATACTTTTGATATAATCTAGAAAGCAAAAGCAAGTCAGAATTCAATTAGGCACCAAAACCTATGTTGGCCTAGTTGAGTAGATTGGTTAATTCATCTTACTCAATTGCAGTTGGTGTTACAACAAATAACTGCCTTCGATGCCAGACTCTACTGACTGCAGACGGAATTGCCACATCCCCTAGATATCTGTACTGAGGACGTATTGAGGAAATCACAATATACTGCTGCACAATATTCGACAGTCTGGTCCCATGCAGTCCATTCTGGTTGAGAAAGGAGAGTGCTCACAGGTTTCCCAACTGTGACATCCCACGATGCATCCAGTTAAATTGTGAAACAAAACACGACTTTGTTGTCAGAAGAGTTCAGGAATAGCAAATATAAGTAAAGAAAAGGAAAATGATTCCTATAAATAAAAAACAAAAAGAGGAGCATTAAAAAAGAATTATCCTTTTCGCACCTATAGAGCTCAAAGTTTTGAAAGTTTGTTGACATTTCAGCAGTTGAGACCTTCATGGCATCGTCAACAGGAGTAAATGATGAATGAGCACCATGTCCAAAGCCAGGTATATATTGAATAGAAGAGATTGCAGTTCCAGTGGTAGGGCTCACTCTTCGTGTTGCTCTATATACTACACCAAGCAATGCACCACCATGCAAGCCAATAACCTAGTAAAATGACACAAAAGGAAATAAATAATAGATCATCAAGTCACTGGACAAAGATATACATACTCAGTTGAAGGACAGGTAAATCATTAAGTCAATTATGTAAAACATTGTCCTTTAAAATGCACAAGAAAGCCAAGAAAAACATTAAGCAACCATAAAGAGAACTAAGAAATAATGCTAATGTGTCCACTCTTAAGAAAACATAAGCTCCCACATATAACACATCATTATACATGCTAATAAGTGACATTTCTTATATATAGCATAAAAAACAGCCATATCCAGTGAGTGAGAATATAGAAGTGATGATAATTAGTCAAAATAAATAAATTCTTAGAATTGAGAAGGTCATGCTTCCTTACCTTGTCCGTACCCAAATAAAAAACCTTGAAATAAACGAGAAAAATCCAGAAAGGTTGACATACTTGGACACTTTGTTGACTAGTATCAAAGTGAAGCATTGGATTTTAGAAAATAGAGAGAACAAAACAGTGCACCACTGGGAGTGAATTTACTATATAGCAGATAACAATGAATTCAAAAGGTAAAATACATATTAACTAGGGAAAGCCCTCTAGGCCTGGGTCAGCAGGATGGCTGGGGTATCACAACATGACATCTAGCGCTCTATTCCTACCAATGTCCAATTTTAACATTCAAATACACCAACGTGGTTGTGCATCCCCAGGAATCGCACCATCTCGATGGTGCAGAGTGCATACAAAAACCTAGTTAGGGACAACCGGAAATGTGCCCTCTTTTCAGACAATATTTCATTCCCTTCCTTGTACCGAATCCCTTTTTTAAATTCACCCCTCCGCCTTCTTTTTCTTCTTTTTCTCTCAAACCCAAAACCTACCAAAGCCCCCTTTTTCTCCATAAAACCAAAAACTACATAGGGTTTGTTTTTAAGTATGTTTCATCCCGACCACCATATAGTCCTTTGTTCTAGTGATCTCACCTTCTTTGTGATTACAACTTTAGTTTTTATTCCTTTGTGATTTCTCCAGAAACATATAGTGAGAAAACTACATTCAAGGAGAAGAGAGAGAGGGGTTAAAAAATACAATGCAAGAAAACTCAGTTTAGACTCTAGACAAAGATCTATATTTATATTTAGTATCTTATATTGAGAAACTGTACATGACTCAGAAAGCCTTTAAAGAAGTCAAAGAAAAACAAAAATGTGACTAAGAGAAAAAATAGAAAATAGCTCTCAACGAGCATTTATCATGAACATAGAGATTCTTTTATCCATAATCTTTGAGAAGTAACGCTCACCAAACAAAATGGTGGTGAAAAGTCACTTGTGATCACTTTAGCTGTAACTTTCTGTATCAACCCATGCTCATCGGTGACCAACCATTCATGTTCTTCATGAACTAAAAAAAATCTTAATCCGCCTAGAAGGGGAACAGCCAACTCTATTCCTTCGACCTGCAACCCCATCCCCAGCCAACTACTGGGAAGCCTATCAGAAAACATTTTGGCCAGAAATCCGCCAGAATTCCACCTGAAAAATCATTTTAAACCTCTGAAGAGTGGAACTCGCCAAACTAGATAACGGAAACCTATGTTGAATCGATTCATTCTTGCATTTTACCTTCTCTCTGTTATTCTTGCATGATCCCCCAAAACACACAAAATGAATCAGGCTTCTGATTCTCCAACGGATTTTCGCTAGAAATTTCTTACCCGCCAGATTTTTAGTGGAAAATCGATTCCACACAGATTTTTGGCAAGAAAAAGGGAACATGTGCCAATCTTGTGGATTAAGAGTGAAATAAAGTCTGTTCTCTATCTATAAGGGTAGAGATGCTGCCAACTGTTTCATCTTGATGCATGATTTGGAGAAAGGGATAAATATATGCCATTGCTTTTCTGGTTTGGATGCTTTTGCATCCTAGCTCTTCCATTATGTCTCCTCTCTCTAAACTTCTCTACAGCTTTCTCTCTTGAGGATGTTAGAGAGAGACAGGTGCTTAGAGAGAGAGAGAGAGAGAGAGAGCCTGGTGGGGGAGGAGGAGGGGAGAGGGAGGGAGAACAAAGGAGAGGGTGGGTTTGGGTCTGGGTGGGGGGATAAGAGAGAGAGAGAGAGAGAGAGAGAGAGAGAGAGAGAGAGTGTGTGGTGAGAGAGACGTGTACGAAGTAGGAAGGTAAGTAGAGTCGGTACCGTAGTTAAGAAACGTAAAACGAACGAAACCGTACCGTACCCGTACGTTACGAAC